AATCGAATTTTCTATAAAGATCTTGTGCTCCTAGTTCTGCTATTCGATTCTAGATGGCGCTAGTGAAAACTCGCCATGTACCAGACATTAATTATGGCGCGCAACACTGGCCTCTCCTAAGACATGCTCGTCCCGAGCATTATCGGCCCCATAGTAAGTAATCTTGCACCTTTCTATATCCTATAGTTTACGTCATTGATCCTTGTCACAATCCGGTACAGTCCGTCCCATTTAGCTTGTAGTTTAGGAGATTCCCCTTTGCTGCGGACTGGATTGTGTGACTACACTAGTGAACCTTCGTCGAACACTTTGTTGTTTATTTTTCGGTCATACCGGGTTTTCATTTTTTCAGACTTTTGCTGGCCCGATTGTCTGACAGGCTCATAAATGTCATTCATATTGTTCCACAAGTCATTTGCATAATCGTTTATACTGTCCCACGCAAGGTGGAATTCATGTGAACAGGTCTGCAGGCAGCCGTAATTCTCTTCCAAGTTTGCAAAAGCTGGTGTCACCGATGTACTTTCGTGAACAGCGCTTGGATATGACAACAAAAACGGTTGTATGTGCTTGTCCAAATCTCGTTGCTGATCTTCCACAACTTTTGCTAGGTACCTCTCTAATGTATGATTAAATCGTTCTACCATTCTATCAGACTGTGGGTGGTGGAATATGTTCTTGTTTTATGAGTACACATAACTCGGCAAGTTTCCTGGAATATTTGAGACTCAAAATCCCTTTCTTGATCGCCGTGAATCTCTAAAGGTACTCCAAAATGACAGAAAACTTCACGAACTAGTTTATCTGCGACTGTTGAAGCTTCTTGATTTGGAATGGCAAAGACTTTTGGTCACTTAGTGAAGTAATTCATCACAACCATGAAATATTTGTTACCACTTTCATTTTCCTAAAACGGCACCGCAACGGTAAAGGCGATCCTCTCCTATGGTGCACCAACATTGTTTAATTACAATGCATCTCTACTACGAGTCTGAGGTCCTGAGGTATGAGAGCAGTCATGGCCTGACTTTTGTTCCAGTCTTTCGTCTTCATGACAGCCTCAAACTGGATTTTGTAGACTGACAAGGAAGAAGTCTCGTCGAACTTTTGAATCCAGGTGTTGTAGCTACTACGGGAACTGTAATTTTATCCCCAAGTTTGAGGTCGTCCAGCGTTTTCTCCACGTCAGCCATCACGTTGTCAAACGTCTGCGGCAGTTCACTTGGTTGATTCGGGTTTCAGCTTCTGATAGGCGGTTGACATGTTCAGCAACCCTATCCGTCACCTCCCTTATCTCTTTCTAGCATGAAGGTCCTTCATGAGGCACATCTGTTCTTCCTTATCACGTTTGAGCTGCTCTTTCAAACAACGGGCCTGTTTCTCCTGTCGGCGGGCCTTTTCCTCCTGTCGGCGGGCCTGTTCTTCCTGTCGGCGAACGTGCTGCTGCAGTATCATGATCAGAGCACTTAAGTTGGGTGCTGCAGATGTAGGAGCTGCGGACGGGCCGGCCTCCGTGGTCGGCAGCTGGCCTTCCGACGTCTGCGGCATTGCACCTCAAAACTCTGTGTCTGGTCCGTCTCCTGCTGGCGTTGACTTCGGGTACGGATATCCTCCGTGTCATCCTTAAGTAAAATCGGCATTATTTTTGGTAGAGCCATGCTGCAGTTATATTAATAGTATAGTTATAGCACGAATGAGTCGGCTCGACCGGGGAGGAACCACGCTCTCACAGAATATCAGCGTCAAATAGTAGCTTAATGCTGTTGTGTTTCGTATGGTGAGTGTAGAGAACCGGAGACCCTTTTTACTGGAAACGAGGCATTCCACCTAATTCCTCACGGGTGACAGCGTATCTACATTTTGTTTTACACCGTAATCGAGGACAAGATGTCTCTGGGCCACAGCAACCACTTATCATCAGGTGGACTGTGTGCTCGTTTGTCACCCTATTCTATAAAAAAAAGATTTTATCCCACTTCTGACACTAATTGTTACGAGCGTGGGGTTCGTGACAGTAAAAACTGCCGATTGAATATTGACTCGGTCGCGGTACTTACCGACCTTATATAGGGCCCCTTCTACTGCAACATCTAGAAAGTTCGAGTACATACCGGTCCCGACTGAATAGGTGTAAAAAGTTCTAGTAAGGAATTTTATAGAAAGATCTTGACGTTCCTAGTTCTGTAACTTAATACTAAATGGCTCTAGTGGGATCTTGCTATGTACCAGACACTAATTATGGCGCGCAACGGTATTTATCACGGTTTGTGTTTGGAGGAATTGTTCGGACTAATTTCAGCCGCTCAATTTCATCATGGTACACTGTGACAGAATTCACAGTTTTCTTTTCGCACAACTTCCTTGTGAAATGAACTACCACCAGCGATTTTTCCGGAAAACGACACAGGAAACTTCAAGAAAAGAGCCTACTCCCTCTTAAATGGCCGGCAAAGCATCTGCAATTTCCCTGGCCGCCGACGAACAACTGCAACATTTGTTCCTGGGCGGCGGTAGTCAGTTGCCATCAAGTGAGCTGCATGCTCGTTTGCCTCCTTCAATATGAAAAAAGAAACTGCAGTTTTTATTTCTATTTAATTGTTATCAGGAAAATGCTGCTGCCCATCTTCTCTTTCACTCTTCCTCTATCGCCTCTTGAGACGACAGGATGATATGGACTAGTGGATTCGCTTACGTCGCCATTGCTGTGTGCGCACACACGGTGGCTATGTGTACTGTATATCTTTCATGCAGCAAAAATTTACCATATGTTTAGCTTGATAATTAATTAATTCGCAAATATATAATTAATATTTGCTCGGTGCGCGACGGTTTACGAATATCTACTATCCCATGTCGTAAGAGATGACAGGTGGAAACTGAAACAGGAGACGGGCAACAGTACCTGCCTAATAACAACTTGATATTTTAAAAATAGAAGGTTATCCGCCAACCAAGTGTGGCAACTATGGCACATATACCATGATCGTCAAATATCTATGTGGCGATATATGTGGGATATTTTGTTCAGTCGTGGACTTTATGGGCTGTAATGGATGGATCGACATCTTTTTTTTATAGAAGAGGGGACCGAACTAGCATGCTCACCTGATGTTAAGTGACTACCGCCGCCCACGAACAATTTATTTCGTTTTATTTAGTTATTAGTTGTCGAGTATTTACTACAGAGGTCACAACAGAGTCGCCTATCGGGTACAGATTTATTGATGTTAAAGTTAAAAAGTTAAAATTATAGCCTATATACGTCCCAGTGCTGGGCACAGACTTCCTCTCATTTCTTAGAGTGTTTTTCGATATATAATATAAATACTCACGCCTGTCACCCAGAGGGGTAGGCAGAGACTACGGACTTCCATTTGGCACGATCCTGACATACCTCTTTCGCCTCCTTTACATCCATATATCTACGCATACATGCTCGTCGGTTAAGGGTACTTCTAACGTGGCCCATTTTAAAAATATCGCCAATTTGGTCGATAAACTTTTTTCTAGGGCGTCCCTTCCCGACTCTGCCGTTCACATCTGCCATATAAATTTGCTTTGTCACTCTTTCCTCATTCATTCTTTCTACATGACCAAACCACCGAAGCATTCCTTTCTTAATCCTGGTCACAACATCATCTTGCATAGCACATTTATCTCTTATCACGCAATTTCTCACCGTCATTCAAATTCAACCCTAGTATATTCCTTAAAGACCGCATTTCTACAGCATTTATTCTATTCGTGCTTCTTCTGCCACACCCAGCTTTCACTACCATACATTAAAGTAGGGACTAACACAGCATTATGAATTACCATACGTGCCTTTTTTGACACATTCTGGTTCTTCATAATAGAGTGTAGTGCCCCATTCACTCTATTCCCTGCATTTACTCGTCGTTCTATATCCCCATCATATCTACCATCCCTGCTAAATACACATCCCAAATACACAAACTCATCCACTTGCTAAATTAACTCTCCTTCTATTCTTATTTCACATACCGTTTTGTTTTCTTCTCTTTCAAAAACCATCACTTTCGTCTTACTTGCGTTCACTTTCATTCCCCTTTCTTTTAATTCCCAGTTCATTAATGTAACCATCATTTGCAACTCAGCCGCCGATGATGCAAATATGACTTGACGGTTAACTCGCCCATTGTTAACCCACATTCTTCATCTTTCAAAGTTTGCAAACACCTGTCCATAAATAGATTGAACAGCCAAGGGGAAGCTACACAGCCCTGTCTGACACCTTTTTGGATGCCAAACCAGTCCGAGTAGACCCCATTGATCGTGACACAAGCACTAGAGTTCCTATAAAGAGACCTTAATGCCTGTATCAAACCAGCGCTCAACCCATATGAGTTCAGTGTTTGCCATAACACATTCCTGTCCACTCTGTCATAAGCCTTGTCTAAGTCCATGAACGCACAAAAAACTTTCTGGTTTTTGGCCAAAAACTTCTCCGCAACCATGCACATGGAAAAGACTTGATCTGTACATCCCATTCCCTTTCTAAAACCCGCTTGCACATCCCAAATTTTTCCATCAGTTTCTTTCATAACTCTTTCAATTTTTATTCTCTTTTTTATTCTCTTTCTGTTTTTCGATGTATAAGATATTAATCCTAGTTGAATATAAGTAATTTAGGTTCATAAATAAAGAATAATAGTTGATAACCACCACTCATCGGATCCTATCACAGCTATGATCATCGTCCCGAAAAACAAATAAGTATATTGCGTAATGACCTTGATGACATCGATTGGTCAAATCCCTCAGAATTTACACGATCACTAGCAGATGGACCAACGATTATAGTGATCAACATCCTATCAGCTACCTATATGCTGATAAATCTCCGCCTAAGCCCAAGGCAAAAAGCTATACTACAAATTAATAAAAATAGTTACCTGTAGCAGAAAGTCGTTGTACATCAGTCTGGTGTGCTCGCCGAGTACCTTGAACTAAAAGACCGTTCTAAAGAACCTGATTTTCTAATCGTACATGCAACCAGGTTTAATATTCACCTGCAGTAGTAAATTGTTGGAGAGTAGCCTGGCCTGGTGTTCCTGCGCCTTGGCCCGTAAACATGCGATGCTGTTGTTGCGGAATGCCTCGGGATCTTCGTACAGCTCCCGCCCAGGTTCAGGCGAAGCTCGGCCCTTCGCTGATGAGGACGCTGTAGTACTGCTGCCTGGCGAACTTTGCGCCTGGAAGTCAGATAGGAAAACATTATTACCTTGAGTAATCTATCATCATTATTACAGCCCTTTACAAGTCTACTGGTGAACATAGGCTTCCCATAAGGAATACCACAAAATGTAAATCTATAGATACATGTAAATAAAATTGAACAGTTTTTTTTAGAGCATTGAGTGACAAACGAGTAAGTGGATGCTGTGGCTCATAGACATCCACATTTGTCTTCAATTAACAAATAAAATGCTGATGCGTTGTCACTCCTGAGGACTGAGATGTGTCCGCCTGCAATATCAAGATATCTGCCTGTTATCGAGCTCACGGGGCTCGCGTGGCACTAAGACATGAATAGTCATTTGTAAAATTATTTTCTGTATGTCTGTCTTAGCCTACAGAATGCCTGGACCGATTGTGATGAAATTTCACGGATGGATAGAGAGCAATGCTAGGAGTGAACTATATATTAGGTAATCAAAAATCTTGGAGTTTTTTGAGAAATCGAAAAACTTATAAAATAGATGTCTTTGATGATTATCTTATATCTGAATAATACCACATGAATAATTTCTACCCAGGGGAAGTCAGGTCGCTAATAAAAAAATAATGTTGTCCTTTCAAAGACCTACTACAAAAAGTAAACTGTGTTATTAAATTCAAGTTGAAATGGATGAGAGACTACCTTAACCTGCACTGTAGTGATACATCCATACTTAGGCTGTTTTTTTTACTCATAACCAAAGAGTAGATTGAATTATAACTTGTTGACATTATGAGGAAACGAAAGAATACCTGTTTAACAAATTTAATAAAGTTTTTTGGGGGCCCACCAACGACACTCATTAAGATAGCGTGGTGCATTGATTTCATTTTTTTTTATAAAATACGAGTGGCTAACGAGCACACAGCCCTCCTGATGGTAAGGCCCATAGACATCTATTTACATCTATTGTCTATTAAAAATCAAAATGCAGGTTGCGTTGTCATTCCTGAGGATTCAGATTTAATTTTATGTTGCTGCGATATTATGATTGTAGCACGAATGGGTCTGCTCGACCGCGTACGGACCACGCTCTTATAAAAAGCAGCATAAAATAGCAGCTTAATGCTGCTGTGTAGCGTATGGTGAGTGTAAAGAACTGGAGACACCTTTTATTGGAAACGAGGCAATTCACTTTAGTCTGCAGGGGTGACAACGAATCTGCATATTGATTCTTGATCGCGGATATTTGTAGATGTCTATGGGTTACAGCATCCACTTATCATCAGGTGTACTGTGTGCTCGTTTGTCCCCCTTATTCTATAAAAAGCTGTAAGAGAAGGCGTGCTGGGCCAGGAGAAACACTACCTGTGGTGGTCGTGCGGGTCGCGGCGCGGCGAGGCGGAGTGCGCGCGCTCGGGCTCGGGCTCGGAGCCCTCGCGCTCCGACCCCGACTCCTGTAAGAGAAGGCGGGCTGAGCCAGGGGACACACTACCTGGTGGTCGTGCGGGTCGCGGCGCGGCGAGGCGGAGTGCGCGCGCTCGGGTTCGGGCTCGGAGCCCTCGCGCTCCGACCCCGACTCCTGTAAGAGAAGGCGTGCTGGGCCAGGGGACACACTACCTGGTAGTCTTGCGGGTCGCGGCGCGGCGAGGCGGAGTGCGCGCGCTCGGGTTCGGGCTAGGATCCCTCGCGCTCCGACCCCGACTCCTGTAAGAGAAGGCGTGCTGGGCCAGGGGAAACACTACCTGTGGTGGTCGTGCGGGTCGCGGCGCGGCGAGGCGGAGTGCGCGCGCTCGGGCTCGGGCTCGGATCCTTCGCGCTCCGACCCCGACTCCTGTAAGAGAAGGCGTGCTAGGCCAGGGGACACACTACCTGGTTGTCGTGCGGGTCGCGGCGCGGCGAGGCGGAGTGCGCGCGCTCGGGCTCGGGCTCGGATCCCTCGCGCTCCGACCCCGACTCCTGTAAGAGAAGGCGTGCTATGCCAGGGGACACACTACCTGGTGGTCGTGCGGGTCGCGGCGCGGCGAGGCGGAGTGCGCGCGCTCGGGCTCGGGCTCGGAGCCCTCGCGCTCCGACCCCGACTCCTTCAGATGCTGCGCCGCCTCCAGCGACTTGCGGTGCATGCCTATACATTCAATTATAAGTTAAACATTTTAGGTACATTTAAAATTAAATTTATCGCTACTAGGACTTCGTTAGACTGAGCATAATATCTATACATATAAATAAAAGTACTTCTATAAAATTTAGGGGTTATTTTGTATACTTCTAAGATATAAATAACCACTTATTTTAAATTCTGTTTGTCTGTCCGGGCTAATGTTAAGAATGGCTGAACAGATTGCAAGGAGTTAGACTGAGATAGTTTAACGATAACAAAGTGAGTTATACTTTAATTACATAGAAACATATACATTATATACTCATATTCTATTCACTTATTCCCCTGCTCTCTATAAATCGTATCGCGAATCTACTAGGTGTCCCAGCGCACCTCAAGTCGACTCCATAATTTATTAACTTGAGGTCTTGAACAAGGCTTGACACACGTAATAAAGTCGGCCCCACGCGACACAGGTTTATAGCGCAAGGTTCGAAGACTCCGCTCGTAAAACATCGGAAATGATAATGAAGAGGAGGGGGGGGGGTCCACATCCGCGCATAATCAACACGTCACTTCAATGCTCTTATCGCTCAAGCCGAAATAGAAGGAGCTTTAACGCCAAATCATCGACAAAACGAAAGAAAGTAGATAGGACCCTTGAATACGTCAGCGGTACATTTATCAGTTAAAAGCAAACAGTTTTTTTTTTTAAATAGAATAAGGTATAATATAATAGTCCACCTGAAGGTAAGTGGATATGTGGCGCGTTGAAATTTTTTCGTCAACTCACATTTATCCTAGATAAAAATCAAATACATATATACGTTAGTTGTAATAGTCAACTAACTAACTGCTAATAACTGCTGATTTTTTATGGGTCTCCTCATAGTATAGCCCATATTATTATTGCCTTTCGACTCTACTAGCGAAAAATTTCACAACGTATGAACATGATGTTGTGGAGGATATATGTGGTAAAGATTTTCTTTTTGGCTGAAGGCTTTGTAGCCAATACCTGTAATTGTAAACCTAATCTAAAGATAAGGAAAAGGAAATTTCTAAAGTAAGGAATGTTACCAAATAAATGTTTTCTTGAATCTTAACTACTTATTTACCAAAGATAATAAAAGTTAGTTTGCAACCATACCCTCAATAAAATAAAATGATATGTCTTACCTAGTTTGAAGAGCACCTCCCGCCCTCCCTCAATTGTGTGCACTAATCCCGTCACCACTAATCCCAGTACTAGGTACTATTTTCAACACTACTACTCCCAACACTACTACTACCACTACTAGGTAGGAGGCAGGTGCTCCTCAAACTAGGCAAGACACATTATTTTATTTTAGTGAGCGGATGGTTGGAAAGTAACTTTTAAGAATTTTAGTATAATGGATTTCCGCAAAGTAACACCTGATTCTATTAATTACTTACTCAGTATACAGGAGAAAATCTTAATGTAGGGGTTTTTTAATTAAATAAAAAAAAAAGTAAAAAAAACTACTTATTTATGCAAATGCAAGCACCGAATGTCGCGGGAGATACAACGAGTAATTTTAATATACCACGGAATCGTCTTTTTACGGGATTTTTACAGCCTCCGTGCACTTTGCACTGAATATCTAATCACGGCGCGTGCTTTATACTCTGTGCTGAGTTTGTTCCGCAGGCACTATTTTTATTTTATACCTGTATCTATCTTCGATTAAGAATCAAATTGTAGATTGCGTTGTCACTCCTGACTTAGATGAAATGTCTTGTTTTTATTAAAAAGTTTCTCCAGTTCTATACCTTCACCATACAAAAACAGCAGCATTAAACTGCTATTTCACGCTACTCGTATTAGTCTGTGAGAGCGTGGTCCTTCCCCGGTCGAGCCGACTCATTCGTGCCACAACCATCACATAGCTGCAGCGTAGTTCTACCACGTATAGGTAACTAAACTTAAGATTACCTATGTTTTTTTTTACGAAATATAATTATTTAAGTAAAAAAGATGTTTCTTTTTTAGGCAGGTAAGAGCCACCCTGCAGCTGCATCATGACTGTAGTCACAAAATAAAATATACCTTGTGTTCCGGACCGGGCAGCACGGACCGACTGGACCGGTTACGTTACGGTTACGTTACGGTTATTATGTAAATTGAAGTAGAACCACATGAAGCACATAGTTCTACCCCTACTCACATATTGCTTTGTGTCGTGCGTTGAGTGTAAAAAATCGGAGACCAGAGGTATAACACTTATAGTAGGTATCGATAGTCAGATTATCCAATTACCATCTGGTGGATTGCGTGCTTGTTTGTCAATTAATTGTTAAATTTAATTATTTATTAGAATATAAACGAGACGTGACGGTGAAATCATCTCGTTTTCTTCAGGCGTAAAATACTCAGAAAGAAAAAAAAAACTAAAAAAAGCCTCGTCAAGGGTGCGAAACTTTTATTAAACTATATCTAGTCATATCAATCAAATCTAATCTTATATTATTAAATAATAAATAATAAAAGAAAAAGCAGTTAGATTTTAGATTTTTATATTTAATTACACTTATATAAACTGCCCAGTGTCAAAGAGGAAAGAAAAAAGATGCTTCCGTGAAAGAAAAAAAGAAAATTGTTTTATACAATTGACGGATATTTAAGTAATCAATAATTTTTATATTATATTTTTATATCCTTATTTAATATGTATTATTAATAATTGTGAATTATTCATGGGGGGTATAACGGGAATCGATGGATGCAGGTGGCTCAGGACCGTGCTTTGTGGAATTACTTGGGGGAGGCCTATGTTCAGCAGTGGACTTGTGAAGGGCTGTAATAATGATGATGATGATGATGATTAATAATTGTAATATGTACATCTTTTGTTAGTTAGTTCATGTCGACATATAAGTATAATACTTTTTTCCAACGCCTGTAAAAAGTTTGTCATTTGTAATATACCTCTATATTAAGGCCTTATTGTATACTTAGTGAACAAATAGATACTTAAATACTAGGAAATAGATGTACTGATAAGAGTTAACGAGCGAAATGAAGTCTCCGTGCGTAAGCCCGAGCGATCATCAGACCTGGCGAGGGACTAATGGGCTGATTTGTCTGGACACCACATTAGTGCAACTTTATCCATTAGTAAGGGGGGAATCGCGTTGATTTAGGTGCGGGGGCGCCACCGCCTCTAAACAACTTAGTTTGATTAATTGATGTGTGAGACGTTGCTTTTAACATACGACTGTTAGGACTAATTTGACTGATTAATTTAAAAACCCTGTAACGGCATAAAATAAAATTAAATGAAATATCTTTGGTGTAAGAAAATAAATTTTGTATGTCAAATGTATTTTTTAAACCTACTAAATCTAAATGAGTTTCTAAATGAGCCATGCCTTGTTCATTCATATTAAAGGGTAGTGTACGACCGACCACAGCATGCAGCCGCGAGCAGAGACCCTGCGAACATGATATACTCAAGTCCGTCACACACTGAGATTTATCTCCGAAGAACACAGAAGAGAAACAATTACTGAATATACTTGTAATTTCCCATAGGATCAGTTACAATTCTCTCCTATAAAACACCCATATACCTTATAGTAATTTTTAAAAGGGCAAAATATGAATCGATATATTTTATAATTTCTTACGTTTACCGTTACAACCTCTTAAAACTCCACTGTTGAACATACTCCCCCCCCCCCAGATTGCTCCACAGCTTGGCCGGTGGTTTGGCAGCAGTTTGGTTGGTGGTTTTAGGAAGACTCTCGTACGTGGTAGAGCCACGTTACAGTTATGTGCTAGTTGCAGCACGAATGGGTCAGCTCGACTGAGGAAACACTACGATCAGTGTAAAATTGCTTTTGTGTTTCTCTCTTTGTTTGTTTCTCAGTCCGCAGGGGTGACTGAGGAACAAAGAAACTGTGTGTGGGCCCAAGCATCCACTTACTATCAGGTGAACTGTGTGCTCGTTTGTGGGGTTTGTTCTTTAAAAGAGTAGTTTTCTCTTACTGTGTTGTAAAATGGGACAGCCGATTTCGTGGAGTATCAAAGGTATTAAGTCTGCCGATTTAAAATTACTCGGGTAATATACAGAAAGTAAGTATTTGTCAGGTATTCAAGGCCCCAATATCATAGCTAACACTGACCATTTTTAGTTTTACTTTAACAATCATATTTGAATCAATTTTAGAAGAAACTGACAGTATTTATAGTCTTGCAGTTCTACGCTTGGATTTAAATATTTATAGATATATATATTTTGATTGTAGGATTCCAAGCAGACTGTAGGAAGATCCTAAATCCGAGATGTTTTTACGACCTTGCATTGTTCCATGATTAGAACGCTCATTAGGGTGCCAACTTTATATAAGTCTCATGCGACTAATAAATAATTTTAATTGCGTTTCGACTTAGTTTAAGTTTTTACAACAATTTTTTTTCATATTGTATGTTAAGTGTATGCTATTAGAGATGTAAAATCACGGAGCAGTGGCGGTGTGACAATGTCCACCACACTACATCGTCCCATTGGTGTCGTAAGACGAGACAGCATTTAACAAACCAGATGTGCAGCAGCGTACTCCTAGTAAATACTAAAAAAAACATCTGCGGTTGCCAACCCGGTGTCAGTGCGGCTACTATGATAACTATCTCCTCATTTTTTGCGTTGCGTTGTTAGCATTGAAGACAAAATTCAAATACCTAATTATACCAGCTTTCTTCATCCAACTGGAACACAACCTACGGTAAGGCACGACTGTTATACTACGTACATGATTGCTTGGCGGTTGTAGTGTTGTACCTTAATCTGACTCCAAGTTAGAAGAAAAATCTTGCCCTAAACTAGTACCTAATAAGTAAAATTTAAATCAATACAACAAATGGACGTAGTGTATGTATTGTATGTGTAAGTATATATGTATACTTGCACCGCCACTTCACGATAATTATTGCTATTTAGTGTAAATCTAAAACGTTTTTGTAACTTTATATGAATAGTAAGCAATTGTCTACCTGAT